CACATGAAAAATTTATTATTTTGTTCATCTGAATTTGTGTTCATGTATTTATAGTGTTAATAAACTTGATAGTGTAAATGTCACTTTGGACCTTTTCTTAATTATCTTAATATCTAGAAAAATATAATTGTAATTCATGCAGAAACCTTTTCCCCAATAATTCTGATCGCAGTTGCATTCTCCTTCCTACACAAGGGTCAGCCAATTAATGTTTGCTCTCAAACTAATGTGAAAAAATTACATGCATTAAACAAAAATACAATCTGCCTTTAACCAAAGCTACGGTAAGAAGCTAAAGTTTTGCATTGTCCCTCACACATTCAAATACATTGAGTAAAATTAAAACGTAATATGTAACATATATTCTACTCTGTAAATCAGTAATGATATTTTAATGGATTTCATAGCAAAGTACAACAACACATTAGTAAATTGGCCCACTAAATGCATGTTATAGGCCCGGCGTAAAATGCACACTGAGTTTTAAACAATAAAGTTAATCAAAATCTATATCTACCAAGGGTTCTTGACCTGAGAAAGGTTGAACAGGGGGGGGGGGGGGGGAGCATATAACATTACTGCCCTCTACTGGACCACAGTGAAATCTCACTGTATTAAGTTTTTCCAGGTATTTTAGACATGACCACCTATTAACCACCTACTGCACCCACTATATAGAATAGTGAGCACCCCCTACATTTCATATGTGTATAGTATTCAGTACTTGGGCGGCCCCAGCCACAGTGATAAAGATGAAGTGGAATATATTATTCACAAACAGCAGAAGTGAGAAAAATGAGGAAAAGTGTGCCAAACCTTATGCTGTCTCCGGCTGTGGGTAAAGCCTTTCATCTGTCGCTCTGCACATTCTTCTGAAGGATCCCAAAAATTTGCCTGTTCATTTTTAACAAGGTCCCGGTCTGGTTTTAACAGTTTGTGCGACACATTTTATCGAAAATTGTTTTATAAATATGTCGCAATGTAATGCAGCTTTGCAAAGAACGGAGCATTTTGTAGTTGACGGAAAGGCCGGCGTTCGGGTAAGTTATATGAACGCGGCAAAGCGCGGTAATTCACTTCACACGAGTCTTAAAGGCGCCGCAGCAATAAAATCAGAATTAGATTTGTGTGGCTTTTAGTCCGTGTTTGCATTTAAAGAGCAGGCCATATGGTATTTTAAAGCGTCCTAATATTGTGTTGGAGTCCCCTACAACAGGTTTAAATGCATAAGGTCAGAAAACATTGTAATTTTCTCAGAATATACATTTAATACTAGAGTCATTTATAATCCGTGTATCATTCGATTTTTTTTTATTTAATATTGAAAGTAGAAAAATAAGAAAACGGCTCCTTTTTCGTTTTTCTCCAAAAAACGAGAAACGAGAATTCAGCTTAAATTTACGTTTTTCGTTCATGGGTGGAAAAATGAATAAACAGCTTGAATATTAGATTTCTACATGAGGGCGGGAATTAAACGCCCCTTTCTGCTGATTGGTCAGCCGAAGATCAAACCATGCCTTCATCAGTTCTTCTGCAGTATCATGCAGCAGAATAATAGTCCTCTGCTGCTGCAGTTGTATGGATTCTTAACACATTTATTGTAAATACATTTAATCTTTTTTCATCAAACAAACAGTCAAATGAATAGCTCGACACAACTCGTACCGGGGCAGAGTGTAGACAGGGCTTTCTTCTGTGTAGATATAAATTCTATTCTTTGCATCAGCTGGCATGGCAGGGTATGATATAACAGCTGTCTTAGCCTACCCTGCTCACGTCTGTTTGTTTGTTTAATTAAGAAATTAATTAATTAGCTTCAAAATAAATATTTTAAGCACTAAGACAAAAAGGAAAGAATAATAAATTGGCTTGGGTTGACCCATGTTCACGCAAGAACTGTCATTCTGACTGACAACCGGAGAACAACAGATATTAAATAGCCTACTGTTAGAGTTATATAATGTAGTCTTGTGTTTTATTAAAATTGATTATAATTGATATCTCAAAAGGATATGCACTTGTGCGCGGCATGAGCTGCTGCACACTCGCACTGCAACACAAGAGTTTCATAAAATATAATAACTTGCCATTTCCATTTGTTTCTCACCAAACCCTCAGTATACCTTCAGAAGTGCAGAGGAAATAAGCAGCAGTCATATTTAAAGCAGTTTCAATTAATACTGAGTACTGATTGATGTTCACTTGGATTTTTTTCCCCCATTGAGGGGAAATAACTTAATACTAACTTAATATTTATAGTTTAGTATAAATATTTAATATTTATATTTTTAATTGTGTAACGTTACGTTCAAAATAACTACAAAATGTCATGCTTTTGAAAAAATAAAGAGAACAACAGAATGTGCTGCTTTAGCGCGTCTCTGTCTCCTTGAGCATCTTTCTGGCGCATGCCACAAACATCAACCACAGGGAATACTCGTCTTTTAAAAGGCTTCATTTAGATTATTTTACATTAAATGCATCATATAAGTCACTTTGGAATAAATCACAGTAGGCCTATGTATCATGATAAAAAAGCGACTTTACAGTCTGGAAATACTTTAGGCTATAGCAAATTATTTCTTGGACCCCCTATCACTTTAAGAACTGCTGGTCTACACAGAAGAAAGCCCTCTCTAGACTCTGTCCCGGTATGAGTTCTGTCGAGCTAGTCTGTTTGTTTGATGAAAAATTTGAAATTGATAAAATGGGTTATTAATCTGTACAACTGCAGCAGCAGAGGACTATTATTCTGCTGCATGATACTGCAGAAGAACTGATGAAGGCACGGTTTGATCTTCGGCTGACCAATCAGCAGAAAGGGGCGTTTAATTCCCGCCCACATGTAGAAATCTAATATTCAAGCTGTTTATTAATTTTTCCACCCATGAACGAAAAACGTACATTTTAGCTGAATTCTCGTTTTTCTTTTTTTGGAAAAAAAACAGAAAAAACGAAAAAGGAGCCGTTTTCAAATTTTTCTATTTTCAATATTAAACCAAAAAAACGAATGATACACGGATTATTTATCAATGATTTCGAAATGATTCGTTCCAAGCAAGTTCGGAGCAAACCCCTCCTACTCTGCTCTGATTGGTCAGCTGGCCAAGCCTGTTGTGATTGGCACAAAGAGGAGTCCTTGAGCAAAGTTAGCGAGCACTACCATTCACAAAGCACCTTTACATAAAACAATAATATAGTGCTCCATTCCGTTCTTATAATAATTAAATAAAATACAAAAACACTTATGCAAGTGAATCGTGCCCACAGCTAAAGTTTAGCTGCTAAACTGTGAACACTTAAAGCAATAATGGTGGATACGTTAGCCGAGTGCTAACGTGACTAACTGATGAAACGATACAGACTGCAAACCAAAATATGTCTACTGTAATGTTTGAAGACCAACAGACAAAAGACGGTCTGTCTTAACTTTTAATTATAACACAGAACAGCTGTATCACTTGCGCACCAGCCTAACTAACTAGTCTCTCTCTCTACCGGGTCTTTTACTCCCTGCATTAGCCCTATAACTACATAAACAGCACTTTCACAATGATTATAAAGTCTGTGTGCTACACTACATTCTTTATTATTAAACAAAATAATTAGAACAACGACAGTCTACATTAATCGACACATTCTTAGGAAATAGGGGGTTCACAGAAAATTATCAGAACTATTTCAGTAAAACCGTAATATCGTGCTTTACCTGGAAACCTAAAGCTGCACTAGGTGTACATCACATATTAGCACAAAAACTTAATATTTTGGGCACTCAATTGAAAATGTACACATAACGTATCAATCGTACAGGTTGTGCTTCGGAGACACTTGTTGGTCCAAATTAAGAAGATTAGAAGCCAACAAAGATAAAAGGCAAGATTAGAGAAGCTGTTCTTGGTAAAATGACATATACACAACAAAAGGTTGGAATTGTATTTCTGTGGTATCCTTGAACACAGCGTCTTCTCAACATGATGTAAACACACTAGCTAGCGGAAGTGTTTGTGGGCAGGCCGGGATTATGCTAATGTGTTACCCAGTGACCTGTACTGGTAACAGGCAAAAGATTCGAAAATATAACGACTCGTTTAGGCGCTTCAGAATCGACTCTCTCTTTTGAGAGACAATATCTTTATTTATCATGCACTTTTTTGATTAACAACTTTGCAGATTGTTTTCATTTAAGGATAGCTACGTTATAAACTGCAAGAGATATTTTTCAAAAACCCATATGACCTGCTCTTTAAGGTCATCTCCATGCTAGCATAATCCTAAACGCGGAATAATGTATTTTTACAGATATTTAAACATTCTTTTATAAAAAAATTATTATTGCTTCTTACATTAATTATATTTATAAAATAGCCTCTCTTAAAAGGATAGTTCACCCAAAAAATAAGAACTCTTGTCATTATCACTCACCCTCGTATCATTCCAAACCTGTATGATTTTTTTTTCGGTAAAACATAAAATAAGATATTTTGATGAATGTTGGTAAACAAACAGTTTGGGTTTCCACTGACTTCCAGCGTATTTTTTGAAGTCAATGGAAACGGAAACTGTTTGGTCACCAACATATCTTCTTTAAAGGATTAGTTCACTTCCAGAGTAAAAAAAAATCCTGATAATTTACTCGCCCCCATGTCATCCAAGATGTTCATGTCTTTCTGTCTTCAATCACAAAGAAATTAAGGTTTTTGAGGAAAACATTCCAGGATTTTTCTCCATGTAATGGACTTCAATGGTGCTCAACGGGCTGAAGGTCCAAACTGCAGTTTCAGTGTAGCTTCGAAGGGCTCTACACGATCCCGGCCGAGGAATAAGGGTCTTATCTAGCGAAACGATCTGTCATTTTCTTATTAAAAAATATATATATTATAAATGTACTTATATACTTATAAAACTTACATTTTCTTAAAAAAACCTTTAACTTCTAAGACCAAAATGTCAAACTATTAGCCATACCTTTCACAATAATAAAGTTTTTTTTTTGACAGGATAACACCACTACAAATTATATTTACTCTCCAATTTTATTAACAAATCTCCTCACAAATAATTTCATAGTTGTGAACTGCTTTTACAAGACACTTTCCTGTATTCTGAAAATAAAACCATCAGAGCATATAAACACTAAACTGATTTGAAACCTATATGATGGGTGTGAACACACAGAGATGTGAGCTAAGAGTCTGACGAGGAGTCTTTGACGTCTGTGCTCTCCGTGGCCTCGCTGACCTCACTCATTTCTTTACTCTCTCCTCCACTGTCTCCATCTCCCTCCTTCTCTCCATCCTGCACCGTAAGCTTCTCCACCAGGCCTGTCACAGATGTGTCCTGAGACGGCGGTGCCTCTGAGCCCCACAGACGAACACCTGGTTTCTGCAACTGCACATCAGGAAAAGTTTGTGTTTTGTGTAGTGGTGATTTTTTTAATGAAACTAAACATGTCTCTACCAGTGTCCGCCACTAAGGAAGCAAACCGGTAAGTGTAATGTGTTAAATGTTTGTTTTGAGCGAGTTCAAACTTGCTAATTGATGACAATGCATCTGGAGAATATGGAAAATGGATCAAAATTACAAAAAAAGCTACCAGTAGCTTTTACATTTTTGAAGGTGAATCCAATTTAACCCTCTCTCATTTTTTAATTTTAAAATCTGTGGAAGGTCCGACTATTTCATTGACCAAATTTAGACGTGTGAACGTGTGATTTCTGTTACTAACACTTTTCTACCTACAATAATTGGGCAGTAATTATCAAAGATAAATATATATATATATAGACACAGCATAGACACAGCAGCCATCGTGACTACTGTTAGAGTCCTAATCAAACAGTTGGGAAAATCCAGGAGGAGGCAAATGGAGAATGTGTGGTTTGTTTCCCAGATTTAAAAAAAAGAGTTTGCCTGTTATTCTTCCACATATGTTCAGTGGGTGTAGAGGTTCAGGTTACAGTTTGGGAAATGTGTTTATTCATCTTCATTTAGGGAGTTATGGTAAAAAAAAATTGATGCTGTGTTTATATTGCATAAGTATATATAATTGCAACCCCACTTACCTCATCTGCCATCTCTGTGAGATTCCTCTTCATGGCATAAGCATCTTCTCCATCAGCATAATATTTGGGCTCCACTTCACTAATTCTGCAACACAGCACCATGAAAACATTTGGTACGACTATGATACAATGCGGTTTTTCACTACATACAGAAAAGAACACAATGCACTTAATGTCTCTCCCATTTATCATGATACATATTCATACATAACTAACACTTAATCATGCATTTAATCATACTGATGTTTTTGAAATTGAACTACCTCTGAAGGGTCATTAAAGGGGTGGTTGATTGCGATTTCACTTTTTTAATGTTAGTTAGTGTTAGTTTAATGTTAGTGTTTCTGGAGCGACAGCCAATAGGAAAGACGACGGTAGAGCTCATGTGATCGTTCTCCTGTTTGCGTTTTTGCCGTAGATAATATACGCGATGGAAAAGAACAGGCTCTGCTTCTCATTCATTTTTGTTTTTATGTATGGATTTATATATTATATTATGTTATATTTAGTCTTTTGCCTCCAATATGTTTGTATTTAGCGGAAATAAAACTGATTCGCTGTCAACAACGACGCTACAAGGCAGCTAGTAGTGAGAACACCCACTAACGACCTCATCGCCAGCCCCTGGCGACATGCAGCGATAAAAGATTTTAATGTTTTCATCAAAAACCTTTTTATTTTACTACTGAAGTCAGAAAAGACATGAACATCTTGGATGACATGGGGGTGAGTAAATTATCAGGAAAATTTTTTTCTGTTTATTTTATTCTGTTAGTGAACTAATCCTTTAAAGGATTAAATCATATGATGTTGCTAAAAAGAACATTATTTTGTGTATTTGGTGTAATGAAATGTGTTTATGCGGTTTAAGGTTAAAAAAA